TTCAGAAAAGATTCACTACTTTTTTCAAAAAGAATAATGTAACAAAATAACACTATAATAAAAGTATAATTACATTGTAAAAAAATTATAATAACATTGTAATAAACGTATAATTACATTGTAATAAATGTATAACTACCTTGAAAAGAATCGCTACATTTAAAAAGAATCGCTACTTTTCCAAAAAGAATCGCTACTTTTCCAAAAAGAATCGCTACTTTTTCAAAAAGAATCGCTACTTTTCCAAATTGAATCGCTACTTTTTCAGAAAAGATTCGCTACTTTTTTCAAAAAGAATAATGTAACAAAATAATAATGTCATAAATGTATAATAATAATAATGTAACAAATGTATAATAACACTGTAATAAATGTATAATTACATTGTAATAAACGTATAATTACATTGTAATAAATGTAATAACACTGTAATAAACGTATAATTACATTGTAATAAATGTATAACTACCTTGAAAAGAATCGCTACATTTAAAAAGAATCGCTACTTTTTTCAAAAAGAATCGCTACTTTTCCAAAAAGAATTGCTACTTTTCCAAATTGAATCGCTACTTTTTCAGAAAAGATTCGCTACTTTTTACAAAAAGAATAATGTAACAAAATAATAATGTGATAAATATATAATAATAATAATGTAACAAATGTATAACACTGTAATAAATGTATAATTACATTGTAAGAAACGTATAACAACACTGTATTGTAGAATTACATTGTAATAAACGTATAATTACATTGTAATAAATGTATAATAACACTGTAATAAACGTATAATTACATTGTAATAAACGTACAATTATATTGTAAAAAAAAATTCTAATAACATTGTAATAAACGTATAATTACATTGTAATAAATGTATAACAACCTTGAAAAGAATCGCTCCATTTAAAAAGAATCGCTACTTTTTTCAAAAAGAATAGCTACTTTTTTCAAAAAGAATAGCTACTTTTTTCAAAAAGAATAGCTACTTTTTTCAAAAAGAAAAGCTACTTTTTTCAAAAAGAATCGCTACTTTTTCAAAAAGAAACGCTACTTTTTTCAAAAAGAATCGCTACTTTTCAAAAATTGAATCGCTACTTTTTCAGAAAAGATTCGCTACTTTTTAAAAAAGAATCGCTACTTTTTCAAAAAGAATAATGTGACAAAATAATAATGTATAATGTAACAAATGTATAATAACACTGTAATAAATGTATAATTACATTGTAATAAACATATAATATCACATATAAATGTATAATAACACTGTAATAAACGTATAATTACATTGTAATAAATGTATAACTACCTTGAAAAGAATCGCTACAGTTAAAAAGAATCGCTACATTTAAAAAGAATCGCTACTTTTTCAAAAAGAATCGCTACTTTTCCAAAAAGAATCGCTACTTTTTCAAAAACAATCGCTACTTTTTCCAAAAAGAATCGCTACTTTTCCAAAAAGAATTGCTACTTTTTCAAAAAGATTTGCTACTTTTTCAAAAAGAATCGCTACTTTTTTCAAAAAGAATCGCTACTTTCACAAAAAGAATCACTACTTTATCGCTACTTTGTCAAAAAGAATCGCTACTTTTTCAAAAAGAATCGCTACTTTTTTCCAAAAAGAATCGCTACTTTTCCAAAAAGAATTGCTACTTTTTCAAAAAGATTAGCTACTTTTTCAAAAAGAATCGCTAATTTTTTCAAAAAGAATCACTACTTTATCGCTACTTTGTCAAAAAGATTAGCTACTTTTTCAAAAAGAATCGCTACTTTTTTCAAAAAGAATCGCTACTTTTTAAAAAAGAATCGCTACTTTTCCAAAAAGAATCGCTACTTTTTAAAAAAGTATCGCTACTTTTCCAAAAAGAATCGCTACTTTTTCAGAAAAGATTCGCTACTTTTTAAAAAAGAATCGCTACTTTTTTTCAAAAAGAATAATGTAACAAAATAATAATGTCATAAATGTATAATAATAATAATAATAATATAACAAATGTATAATAACACTGTAATAAATGTATAATTACATTGTAATAAATGTATAATTACATTGTAATAGATGTATAATTACATTGTAACAAATGTATAATAACACTGTAATAAACGTATAATTACATTGTAATAAACGTATAATTACATTGTAACAAAAGTATAATTACATTGTAATAAACGTATATTTACATTGCAATAAATGTATAATAACACTGTAATAAATGTATTAATACATTGTAATGTATAAATACATTGTAATAAATGTACAAATTAATTGTAATAAATGTATAATAACATTGTAATAAATGTATAATAACATTGTAAACAATGTATAATTACATTGTAATAAACGTATAATTACATTGTAATAAATGTATAATTACATTGTAATGTATAACAACCTAGAAAAGAATCGCTACATTTAAAGAATCGCTACTTTTTCAAAAATAATCTCTACTTTTTCAAAAAGAATCGCTACTTTTTTCAAAAAGAATCGCTACTTTTTCAGAAAAGATTCACAATTTTTTTTAAAGAATCGCTACTTTTTTCAAAAAGAATAATTTAACAAAATAATAATGTCATAAATGTATAATAATAATAATAATGTAACAAATGCATAACACTGTAATAAATATATAATTACATTGTAATAAACGTATAATTACTTTGTAATAAATGTATAATAACACTGTAAAAATTGTGTAATTACATTGTAATAAACGTTTACGTAATACATATATAATAACACTTTAAACAATGTATAATTACATTGGGATAAATGTATAATAACACTGTAAACCATCAGTGCCCAACCAGTCGATCGGACTGATCCCAAGTCGACCGCGAGGAGTGTAGGAATTATTTTTTTTTTTTTTTTTTTTTTTTTTTTTTTATGTGTGTTTTATATTTTTTATTAAATTTACACTACAGCCTATATCATGAGTCCTTGCCAACACATCCACAAAAAAGTATTTAAAAAAGAGAAAAAGGAAAAAGTAGGACTTTTGGTTGGACATATACACATGAGTTTTCCCTGTACGGGCCACTATCTGTAACAAACTTGGCTTGCAACTTAAGTAAACCAGAAGTCACTTAAAAGTTCAGGGCACTCACAAGGCATGAATGAATAATGGAAAAAAAAAAACTGTATCAATACTTGAAATCAGACAAAGATAGGCCTAAGCAGGTTAACCAACAAAGTATATTGATAACTCAATAGTCAAATCAGAAAAATTAACACTTATTCGAGAATCCTTGATCAAATAGTCATGCGTGAGAAGTATTGTCCTTATGCGTGAATCCTTTGTCCTTGAGCCCAAAAAATGAATCAAAATGTCCAGGAAAAGTGGTAATAATCCTCCAAACTAGCCTGACTTCGTCATACTCATATTCTAGTCAGAATGTGAGTCTGATACTGCTTCATAGGGCTTTGATTATGAGGCGTGTCTTAACCGAACCAGGAAAAAAAAAACCTCTGCACTCAATTGGATAGACCTACAACCAATGAGAGCAACGCAGTAAGTCAACTACTTTGCATAGCACAGTTGTCAACTACAGAACTCAAATGCACGCACGCTGGAAGAAGTAAAATAACGAGTGTTGCTTCTTTTACTTGGTCCTCTATGAGTGCGACCAAAAGAGAAACCACAATGACCACAGGGTTTTCATTGCGTCCCATCTTCTTAGTTACCATCGGAGCCAGCTGATAAATTAAACTTTTGCCGAATCCCATAGGAAGGACGGCAAACACATCTTTCCGATCGACAAATGCGTTGATTGCAGTTATATGTTCGTCTTTTAAAATGAATGCGCTGTCGATTTCTTTTACAACGGACGCAATAGCGGAATCTCTACATCTCAGTTCTCCAGCGGCAGTCATCTCTGAGGGAAACCAGTTCAACCCAAGCGCTCTTTGATAACGTGAGGATTACGTCCCTGCAGATCATCTGTCCATCATCGTATAAAGCCCGCCCTGGCAATTTGATTGGCCCGACGATTTCTGAACCGATCATAATTACTCCTCAATGGAGCGAGTCCAGACCGAACTTCCCTATCAAAAAATGTTGTGGGCGGGGTTCGGGCTGGCATCCAGGCTAGCTCCAAACGTGATGAAATAGCAAAAATACCAAAAACCCCAAGTCTTCTCTTGAACCTCGATGGGTAGTTAATCCATAAACTCTTCTTCAAAGGAGAAGGCTAAAAAACACCAATCTGTTTGGTTTAAACAGGATCACCTAACATGCATGCTGTTTTGCCAAAACCTGGCTTGGCCTTTTTTACTAAACAAGGCCTTCCTCTTCCAAGGTGCTCTCCTGTCAAAATAAAAGTCAATTTTGCCAACTACAGGATGTTTCTGCACCAAACATAAAAGTCCCTCATACAAAGGTAGAGAACTTCAACTAGGGCCTGAAAACAATTGAATCATACATATCCTCATAAAATAATGTGTCTTCCAAGAAAATTCTGAACTTTTTGCCAGAGAGAGGGAGTGGGGGAAGTGGGAAAGAGATGTATTCTCAGGTGAGACTTGCGTCACAAATGGTGATGCTAACTTCACAAGAGAGAGTTCAAATGTTAATTTCCAGAAAGGTCCTTTGTCTTCTCAGGGGGTGGTCGTTCCTCAACCAGACTGCCCGGCATTTTCTAATTTCTCAAGTCTTACACTCTTATCTGGTATTTTTATGGATATCATTCAGCATCTTCATTCATTTTTAGTGCACTTTTAAACCACAACAAAAAAATCAATACTGTGTGGAAAGAGACTCTCCAAATAGCTTTAATGAGATGAGATCTATTTAATGAGATCCCATTTTGTCTTTCACAGGTTTCTTGAGAAAGATCTAACTGCACATTTATTTATAATTAAATCCAATTAAGTATAATTAACTTTTTTAGTTTAACAAGGCAAACTCCTGCTTGGGAATCACAGTAAAACTGTGCTAGCACTTTTCACTTTCACCATTCTGTCATTCTCACTGTCAGTAAATGAGTATGCGTGTGTGTCTCAGGGATGAAGAGGAGGTCATGGCCCTGTACAATCCTAGTGTGGTGAGTTACGCATTGAGCAGCAGTAGCACACAGAGACAGGGGAGTCCAGGCAGCCGGTGTGAAAAGAAATCACCTTCCAGACCCCCATCTAGCCAGAGCAAGATTGGAAGCAGGTCAGTGTTTCAAAATGATATACCTGTGGGTGTACTTCTACATGACAGAAGTTGATGATATTGATTGAGTTAGTAAGTATTGAATAGCACTCTTTTTTCAGGTCAATCTCTAGCCTCTCGTCTCACTCCAGCTGTGAGGAAGAAATCAAGGCCTTAAGACACAAGTTAAACATCACCCATATAGAAGAAGTCGTGACCCATCTCAGGTGAGGTGTATATCTAAGCAGTTATACGCACTGCTCCCTTTAAAGTACTCAATTCAGTTGCTCTGCCCTTTAGACTGAGTAGGGCAAGTGATGCTCATTTTTAAATGGAAGTCACACAGAGTGTGAGTACATGTTATTATAACTGAGGACTGCTTTGAGCATATTATGAAAACTATGAACAACAGCGAAATTTCAGACCTAATTCCATGCATAACAAATGCAATTACTTTTTTATCAAGCAGATAATATTGGAATCATTTGTTTACACCCGAGGCAGTGTACATAAAATAATGACTTTTTAGCCAGCAAGATTGTCCGCTTGCAGTTTGATCCTGGTGTGCAGTGAAGTTAATATTGTGGAACACACATTCCTCCGGGTAGAATTCTCCCTCCTTTGCTCAACATGTCCTCATACAGACTATGGATGCAGACACGCTCCTTCTTGTGCAAACATGCTGTTGTTAAAACAGAATGTTGGACTTCCTCACCTTCCTCTCTTTCCCTCTTTCCACGACTGCTCATGCTCATATACACTTTCATCTAGGATTATATTACTTACTGCTGGTTCTAAATTGGTGGCTAAATTTCGATTTGAGGTTGTCTGTAAGCTTACACATACACTAACAGTCAAATGTTTGGACACTAAACTGATTTCTCTTGATCTTAAAAAGCTTTTCATCTATGTTTTAATGTCATAAATAAATGAATTCACTTTAAATTAATTAAACATTAATTAATTAAATCATTTTCACATAGTTAAAATGTATTTATTATTTTATTTATTTAAATATTATTTTAAATTAAATATGTAATAATATTAAATAATATTATTTTATTAGTTTTGTTCATTCATATAAACAGATTTTTGATTAATAAAATATATTTTTTATTTAATAAATGTTTAATAATATTAAATCGTATGATTTTACTAGTTTTATTAATTATTACTAGTATTATTTACTGGATATATATATATATATATATATATATATATACATATACACACACACACACACACACACACACACACACACACACACACACACACACACACACACAACCAAGTACTTTAAATGACTAATATAACCATCTCATACCATCACTGTGTCATGGTACCACCTCAGTACATCTAGTAAGGGATTCCCTCTTGAGTTCCCTCTCTCCTTAAGCCTCTCTTTCAGTCCAAACTTTCTACTTTACGACCGCCTCGCTCAACCCCTTTACCACCCTCCATTCTCTACCTCTCATCCTCTCCTTCTCTGCCAGGCATGTGTAACTCTCCACCCAGCTAAGAGGAATGCAAACAGTAAGTCCTGCTCAGTGGGGCAGCAGGGAATTGAGATAGAAGGAGGGGAGCTGGAGCGAGCAGTCCCATCTATCCCTCCATCAGAACAAAAGACCTCATTGTGAGCAAATGAATTCCAGATCTCGACATATGTAAGATTCCTTGGCCTTAAAAGAAAAGTGAAGAGAGTTTAAGTGACTACAATGCTTATGTAACAGAGAAGAAGTAGGCCAGTTTTCGCTTCCCTGCTGATCTGGAAAAGAGTTCATGGTGCAGCAGTTTGAGTCCAGCCCAGATAAAAACTCTTTTTGCTTAAACTTGTTTAGTACTTAAATGAGAAGAGGTCTCCTATTTCTCGGAAACCCATAATGGCTCAGAATATGGACAGTTATTTATAGTTGCCATAATTATGTGTATCTTATTCTTGGTGCCACATATGGTATTTTGTTTGTTTGATATATATTTTTCCCCATTACACTTCATAAGTGTTGATTTAGAATAATGCATATATCCACTTCATCCTTTAAAAAAGAAGGCCTTGTTTGATTGACAGGTCAGTCCTTACCGAAGAATCTGAAGCATTGAAAAGAGACGTGCGGGTCCTCCAGGTAAGGGCTCATTTTGACATTCAATACTGGTTTTGATTGCAACATCAATTTCAGGATTACTTTAATAACATGCTATGAATCTGGATCCAGAGGGTGGAGGAATCTTTTTTCTTTTTTTTCTTTCTTTTCTAAGCGTATCTTTTTTTTATCTGCTGAGATAAAACTCCATTATAGTTAAAGTACTGTACTTAAAGGAAAACTCCGGCGCAAAATGAACCTTTGGTCTCGGCGTAAAATGGCAAAAATCGGCGTTCGTAGATCGACTGGTAGAGACTGTTTTTCAAAGATGGCTTCTGCCTGTATACGCGAAGTTGACTGTATGTAAAAAATATCTTCTTATTAAACTGTCTGGACACTGACAAAGTTCTCAATGCTTCGGTTTGAAGGTAGGGACCCTCATTATGCTACCGTGCTAGTGTGGGGCTATTTTGAGCCTTGTTAGTGGTATTAACAAGCGATTTTTATTTGTCATTACTCTATGCCCAATATACTAGCGTTATACTAGCTTTATAGGCTAAACTGTTTTTAGAGATAAAACTATTTACATTCGATAATCATGAAAACAAATCTCAGATAACGGTTGACTAGGTAACAATGTGTAATTAGACCAAAGGTTCATTTTGCGCCGGAGTTCTCCTTTAACTCTTCTTTTGTGGTTTCTACAAAAAACTAAATGTATAGCTTTCAGATTGGTCATGTTTTTTAAACATTTCTATTTAGCTTTTTTTATTTTATTTCAGCAGCACTACTAATTTTTGTATGTTTGTGTTTTATTTAAGTTTAAATCTTAAGTTTCGTCTAATATTTAATTTATTGATGAAATGATGAACGTAAAATGAATAGACTTAGTTTTAGCAATACCAACACCGGCTAATGTTGCCAAAAAGCTGCTATAGCTTTCTGAACTGCTGCAGTTTTTATTATTATTGTGAAATAAGTATCGCAGACATAAAAGCAAGTTTCATCCCCATAAGACTAGTGAAGAGCATAGTTCATTAATATGATAGTTCCCAAAACCCAACTCTGAGTGTTCTAACACTGTGGAACTGCTCTTACAGATTAAACTGCTTAATAACCATTTTCAATGATCTCTGTTTGGTGCAACTGAAAACTGCAGTGCAAATTTGTGTTTGACTCTCTATTAAGGCGCTTTCACACTTGGATCGATTGCCTGTTCCGAACCCGAGTTCGATTGCTCCCCCCTCCCCTCCCCTGCCCTGCCCTGCCCTGCCCTGCCCTGCCCTGCCCTGCCCTGCCCCCGATGGACTGTGTTCACATTATATTATTTATATCCGAACCGCGGTACGCTTGCGTCATCAAGCTGCAGCTGGCGCTGGCGCGTAATCGTGTTGCTTGGTAACTGCTATGAATGAAAAGGCGACAAAATGGATAGAATAGCTCGCTTCACATTTGTTCTTCTTTTTTTGAACCTCTGGTTTTGTTTTCAAAGAAAAGATACAGAATCACACTTGCGTCTGTCAAAGTTATACGACCACATTATATGCCATCAATCACTTCCACGTGTCGCCATCACTTCCACTTCAAAATCGTGGTTCACTTCCACGATTTGGTACGATTGTGTTCATATCAGCAGCGAACTGTACTGGAGTTCACATGAACCGTAACCCAGACCACCCTTTTTAAGCGGACTCGAGTACGGTTCTATATGTCTATGTTGTTTTGTGAGGGCCCAATCCCTGAAAGTGTACAGTGTGCATTTTTCCCTTAAGTATTTTTTTTTTCAACCTTTAAGGGGCTTTAGAGCCCCTTAACATGCAACTGGCTCTACAGCTCTAGCTTGAATACTGTCAAAAAACGTGCATATATCATGTATGTATGAAATCGGATACACATATACTTCTCATTGAGCTGAACACGTGGATGTGACTATTGCGAGTCACGGTCATTGTGCCACCAACTGGCAGCAGGAAGTGTGTCACTTAAAACAGGCTTTGAAATCAGCCGCTTATTTACCTGAATTGCTGAATACGGGGTCAGAATAATGTCAAGACACGGCAGATATAAATTCGATTTTTTATGTATTTACCTTCTATATTTACCCCATTATCTAAAGCCATGGGGTGATGGTGGCGCCTGTGCTTGGGGCCCGTCATCGCTGCCTGCTTCTTTTTTTCGATATGAGGTACCAATCATGTGCCTTTAGAGGTTATTATAATATTTTGGTGTTTATTCAGCATAAGCCTTAAGGTCCTTGCACTTTCCGAGTCCGAAATTCTCATCCAAAATGTTTGCACTTTAAAAAATAAATACGACCTCACGTTGTGTCAATCACATTTACACACTGCCTCTGAAACCTTCATCTATCATTAAAAAAAAATCAGATCCGGTTCAATTTTCTGCATTTTTCGCATCTGTAGCAAGCATTTTGAGAGGTTTTTTTACAATTCAGAGCCACCAAATGACGAATACAAAAAAACGCATACGAAAATTTCTGAAAGTGATTCTTTCCTTAGCATGACAATATGCACTAATAACAATGTGTAATTATGTACAACACCACTCATGAATTATACCTTCATTAGATAGTTTATTTCAATTACCCAGTGCTTGCTTAATAATTGCACCTTACATGAACACTCATGTAAAGTGTGAAATATAGAACAGTTGTTCCTTTTGATGTGTTACATAAGCAGCTGGGAAATGGATAATCATGCATCAACTACCATAGAACGAGCATATGTTTTTTTATAATGGATCACAGAGGATTTCTATAGTATATAAATACGAATACGCTAAACTAGACCATTAAGCTCTTTTTCCGTCTTTGCAGCCAAACACGCAGTGTCACACTGATCTCCTCTCAGTCAGCCAGAGGAACTTACTGTAAGGTTTCTACTGTACATCCTTGCTTCACTCTCTCTTCTGTTAAAGTGCAGAGCTCAGCCACAGATGTGAGCCACTCTCAGTGCCAAGCAAATGAGAACGCCATTTGTTTTTTATTAACACACATATGCACACTATTTGAAGCATTCTGTTCAAACATGCTGTACAAATGCACTTGTCCAAAGTCCTGGACATACACAGTTGCACAATGCACTCCACCTCTCACTGTGAAATGTCATCCTGCTACACATAACAATACAGTACTGAGCATCAAATACACTCCCCGGCCACTTTATTAGGTACACCTGTCCAACTGCTCGTTAACACTTAATTTCTAAGCAGCCAATCACATGGCGGCAACTCAGTGCATTTAGGCATGTAGACATGGTCAAGACAATCTCCTGCAGTTCAAACCGAGCATCAGTATGGGGAAGAAAGTTGATTTGAGTGACTTTGAACGTGGCATGATTGTTGGTGCCAGAAGGGCTGGTCTGAGTATTTCAGAAACTGCTAATCTACTGGGATTTTCACGCACAACCATCTCTAGGGTTTACAGAGAATGGTCCGAAAAAGAAAAAACATCCAGTGAGCGGCAGTTCTGTGGGCGGAAATGCCTTGTTAATGCCAGAGGTCAGAGGAGAATGGCCAGACTGGTTCGAGCTGATAGAAGGGCAACAGTGACTGAAATAACCACTCGTTACAACCGAGGTATGCAGCAAAGCATTTGTGAAGCCACAACACGCACAACCTTGAGGCGGATGGGCTACAACAGCAGAAGACTCCACCGGGTACCACTCATCTCCACTACAAATAGGAAAAAGAGGCTACAATTTGCAAGAGCTCACCAAAATTGAACAGTTGAAGACTGGAAAAATGTTGCCTGGTCTGATGAGTCTCGATTTCTGTTGAGACATTCAGATGTTAGAGTCAGAATTTGGCGTAAACAGAATGAGAACATGGAACCATCATGCCTTGTTACCACTGTGCAGGCTGGTGGTGGTGGTGTAATGGTGTGGGGGATGTTTTCCTGGCACACTTTAGGCCCCTTAGTGCCAATTGGGCATCGTTTAAATGCCACGGCCTACCTGAGCATTGTTTCTGACCATGTCCATCCCTTTATGGCCACCATGTACCCATCCTCTGATGGCTACTTCCACCATGTCACAAAGCTCTAATCATTTCAAATTGGTTTCTTGAACATGACAATGAGTTCACTGTACTAAAATGGCCTCCACAGTCACCAGATCTCAACCCAATAGAGCATCTTTGGGATGTGGTGGAACGGGAGATTCGCATCATGGATGTGCAGCCGACAAATCTGCGGCAACTGTGTGATGCCATCATGTCAATATGGACCAAACTCCCTGAGGAATGCTTCCAGCACCTTGTTGAATCTATGCCACGAAGAATTGAGGCAGTTCTGAAGGCAAAAGGGGGTCCAACCCGTTACTAGCATGGGGTACCTAATAAAGTGGCCGGTGAGTGTATGTTGTGATTACGTCATGTCACACAGCAGTTTCACGTTTGGGGTACACAGACAAAACTTGTTACATTGAACTGGGCCGATCCTAAAGTTCACTTAGACTGACAGGCTCAAACCAGGATATAATGTTCCCTTTGGACTGGGATGTGTACTGTCACATACCATTAAATTTGATGGTGAAGAAATTAAACAGTTCCACTGGCATAGACTGTTTATTTTAATTAACTGATCAGTCTTTAGCGAGAAATGTATATAATCTGAACAGTGTTAATCAGAGTATTAGTGATAGCCAAGAATTTAATGTCTCATTGCAGCTGGGGCCTGTAATTGGGGGTCTCAGCACTAAAGGGGCCCACAAGGTGGCTGAATTTTATTGAACCCTTTCATGCATGAATTATGACAATCTTCCTATGTTTTTTGATTGCCCTTAGGGCATAAAAAACAAGATTTGATTAGAATTTTTTTTTACACATTTTTTAAAGAGATTTTCAGATGTCTACTTGAGTGGATAGTATGCGTTTTTGGTTTTAACTGAAGAGGCACTGTATTAAACCTAATACAGAAATAACACAGCAATATTGTGTGTATTTAACGAACCCATGAATAAATTGATATAAAATCATGTGAAAACTATATACAAAGATTGCAAACGCAAAATATTGCAAACGCAATTGAGTTTGTTTCCGTTCGATTAGACGAAGAACTTCATGTTGAACTTTGCGTGTCTTTGATATCAGAACATGAGGACGTGATTCTCTGTGAAGGACTCAGACTATGTAAAAAGCTCACACTCTATCCAGAAATTCTTACAAATGATTAAACTCGTGATCATGGATGTCATGTTTCAATTTTTAAACGTTTTTAACAATTCATAAATTTATGAATTCATTGTTTATATATTATTTAAACCCTGAAAAACTTCTGGAATTTAATTTTTATATATATATATTTTAATTATTTCTTAGTATTGTATTTAATTATTTTAATATATATCCTTGTGTTAGTAAAAAAAAAAAAATTGCCCTGCAGGGGACCTTTGAATATTGTCATGAGTCAAAGTCAAACAGCAGTGTTATTTTTTACTATCATTGAGATACTGTTATAGTTTTTGTTAATATTTTGAATTAGATTTTAATTTTAGATTTTATGTTTTCATTTTAATGTAGGTAATTTTGTTGTGTGCTTTGTCACTTTTATTAGTTTTCATAAATACAGTTGTATTACTTTGTACAGTCTTTATTAGTTTTAGTTTATTTAGTTTTAGTCATTTTAGTACCCCAACTTAAATTAAATTAAATTAAATTTAGTGCATTAATTCAAGTAATGATAAAGGTTTTTTTTTATTGTTATTTTTATGGTTATGGTTTTATTTTTAGTCAAGGATAATGACATCTGCTCATCTGAGGGAGTGTGGGAGAGGGCGTCCCTCCTCCCTCTGGTCTTAGATTTCAGTGTCCTGCCTCATACTGTAACTATGGCTTTGCTAATGCTATTTCTTTTCCAGCTGGCCTCTGGGGTTATACCGCTTCCCACAGACCACAGGGCTAAAATGAATAGTCTCCCGTACACTGGCAGCAACAGTGCCCACCTCAGACAGCTCTGTTTTTTGTTTCATTTAAAAGGATGAGTGTATATGTGCTGGGCAGTAAGCATGACTCTACATGATATATCAGTGACTAAACCGAGGCAGCAGGCAGATTGGTGTAATAATAGTACTCCGCTGCCATACAACATGTGAGCTAATGGAGATCCGTGGCTTTGCAGCGAAAGCATGTGGTTTTGGAGTCCTGTTTTAAGAGCTCGAGTCTCAGTGGAGCAGTGCTGTGGGATCATTTAGTGCAGTGTGAGCTCTGGGGCTGCGTAATACGGAGCCCCTTAAAGGGATACTCCACTTTTTTTGGAAATAGGCTTATTTTTTTAATCCATTCAGCTGATCTCCGGTTCTGGCGGTGCCACTTGTAGCATAGCTTAGCATACATCATTGAAGTGGACAAGACCATTAGCATTTCTCAAAAAAAAAATGACCAAAGAGTTTAGATATTTTTCCTATTTAAAACTTGACTCTTCTGTAGTTACATCGTGCACTAAGACCGACGGAAAATGTAAAGTTGCGATTTTCTAGGCTGATATGGCTAGGAACTATACTCTCATTCCTGCGTAGTAATCAAGAAACTTTACTGCCGTACCATGAGTGCAGCAGGCGTAAATGATATGACGCAGCGCCTGAAAATAGTCCCCAGCTCGGTAACTTCCAACGTGACCGGGACTAAGTGCCTGCGCCTGCTGCACTCATAGTACGGCAGTAAAGTTTCTTGATTACTACGCTGGAATGAGAGTATAGTTCCTAGCCATATCAGCCTAGAAAATCGCAACTTTACATTTTCCGTCGGTCTTAGTGCACGATGTAACTACAGAAGAGTCAAGTTTTAAATAGGAAAAATATCGAAACTCTTTGGTCATTTTTTTTTTTTGAGAAATGCTAATGTCTTGTCCACTTCAATGATGTATGCTAAGCTATGCTAAAAGTGGCACCGCCAGAACCGGAGATCGGCTGAATGGATTCAAAAACGGTAAAACTCAACAGTTTAACTCTGGGGGAGTTGTAAAATGAGCCTATTTCCAAAAAAAGTGGAGTAACCCTTTAAAGGGACCTTTGCAAAAATAAAAATATACAGATTTTCACATGCTCATGAGAAACTTACGCGTGCGCACACGAGAAACTTTATTTTTGCAAAGGTTCCTTTAGGGGCTCCGTACTTTTTCCATTCTTTTTTATTTATTTATTTTTTGTTTTTATCTGTAAAGCAATTTGGCAATTTATTCTTGATGCAGATACAAAGTTTCACATCATGAATTTTTGATTGAATCATCACTCACATCAAATAGTAAATAGACGAATAAAAAAAGTAAATCTTACCAGAACATTTTGTTCGTTCGTGTTTTTAATCAAACACGAATTTTAACAATTACTGATGGAATATTTATATATACTGCAGTTCAAAAGTTTCACCAAGGCTGCATTTATTTGATCAAAAATAAACAGTAATTTTTGTATCAATTTAAAATAACGGAATATTGATCACAAATGCCATAGAATAGTGTCTATGAGAGTGATATGCTATAAACATATACAGCAAAGATAATTTGAAGTTTTATTTGCAGTGGATACCATAGGAGAACCATTCTGGTTTCAACAAAGAACCTTTCAGTGAACAGTTCTTAAAAGAATAATTTTTTTCTTAATGCTAATGAACATTTTAATATTTTAAAGACCCCCCCCCCCCCCCCCCCCCTATAAAGAACCTTTTGTGGAACTGAAATGTCCCATGGATGTTGAGGGTTCTTCATGATGGAACCATCAATGGCAGTAAAGAACCTTTACTTTTAAGAGTACATTTGGAGACAAACACTGCGGGAAAAGTCTCTGCCATAAAGCTTAGTGGAGAGAGTGAAAGTATTGGGGTGTTGAAATCCTTTGGCTTGATTGGATGTTTTATCACAGGGAAACCTTGAGACTGAGAGAGCCAATACCCAGACAGAACCTGTCTCGCCAGAACCCACCCTAGCAGGTATGTGCTTATTCATCTTGACAAAAAGATTCTGTTTTCATGCACCTTTGTATCAGACAAAAGCCTACTGGCAGACTGAACTAAAACAAGACTGCAGCTCTGAGGAGTTTTTGTCCATAAAAATATAAATTTGTCCATATATAAATTCAACTGTTGAGCATAATCTTTCTTAATAAACATTGCATCATAATGATCATTAAACCATTTTATTTAAAATCTGTAAATGTCTTCAAATGTGAAGTGGCCTTTTGAATAGTGTATCACCACCATCTAGTGGTTCACTCCTAAATCTTATGTACACTTTTCCTCTTTTTGTTTTTTTGGGGGGCTGATGAAAAACAAGTGTGTAAAAACAAGTGTGTCAGCCAGTGTGTAATGCAGTTTGTTCTTTTTATTGTATATACAACTCGTTCATAAAAATAAAGCAGCTAAATTAGTAATTCTGCAGTCTCAAATAAAGAAAAAGATCCGATAAAAATGTAGACTGCTTAACACTGATTTCTTGTTTTCTCTGCTGGCTTTCAGAGCTCAAAGAGGAACGGAGACTCATTCAGAGGGATCTGAACGTCAAGAGTTTAATAAACTGCTCCTACAACACAATAAATCAGAGTACCAGAAACAGAAACCTACAAATCCATGCAAGGTCAGATCACCTTTCCAGAATAATGCTTTGTATATGACTTGATGCACAGCCATGCAGAGGTGGACAGTAACAAAGTACATTTACTTGAGTACTGTACACTCTTTAAAGATCTGTTCTTTACTTGAGTATTATTTTTTCTGGAAACTCTTTACTTTCACTTCACTACATTTGAAAGACAAATATCATACTTTTTACTCCACTACATTTCTGTCAAGGTCCTTGAGTAGAAAGTTTTAACGTCAGTCAGGGGATGATTTTAGTTGCAGGGGTTGCATTTTGGTTGGAAATGAAAGTCGGGTTGACGTCAGACCTGACTGATGTTGGTTTCTGACGTCAACCCGTTTTTAATTTTCAACCACAATACAACGTCTGTCCAACGTTGGAGATTAACGCCAATCTGACATTAGATTCTGACATCAACCTGATGTTCATTTTCATCGTTGGGTTTGGTCTTCTAAATGCAAATTGTGTCATTGTTTTGGAGCACACTAGCTTATAGATAACAGCAAGGCTAACATATTCATACTGAAAGCCAAAAAAACTTGGCTTCAGTTCCAGTTCCAGTAGTGGGATTGAATGTGAGATTGAATAAGTGCACTCAATAACAATGGTTTCGGACACCCAAATGGCTGTCCGAAACCATTGTTATTGAGTGCACTTATTCAATCTCACATTCAATCCCACTACTGGAACTGTGTGTTCTAGAAATAAATTTGATATTGATATGAGGGTATGCAGGCATAGATTTAGAGGCATACGGTGTAAGTATTACATACAACAATGCAACAATATTAAAACAATGCATTGAATCGGTCTGTAATGGAGTTATATTTGACCAGTAGTATCTGTACTTTCACTCAAGTAAGTTTACTTTGTCCACCTCTGCAGTCATGTAGATGATCCAAGGTTCTTCTGGCATAAATGTAGTATGTTTTTTAAAGGGAGATGAGTGGTCTTGCTTTGTCTGCAAATGATTCAGAAAGACCAAAACCATCAAACGGAACAGTTCCCCATTTGAAACCATGTCCGCCCAGAGACACAAACCACATCAGGAGCGATGTACCACTAATAAGCTCTTCAAGTGCTGAATCCACGAGCCCTACTTCTGCTTTGGAACATGGGGACAAAGGTTGCAAGCACAGAGGAAATTCAGTAAGAGCTTCAGCATTCAGACTGGTGCCAGCAGCCACAGTCAGAGCATCAGGATCCGTCAAAGACTTCCTCCTAAAGATGGAGGTGACCAGAAACGGTGACCACCTCCAGCCCGCTCCCCCTGCAGTGCAGAGAACAGCCAGCAGGAGGCAGAGGGGGAACAGACACCCGTGCGTTCCTCAGCCCAACAGCCTGCTCACTTCTCTTTGACAACAACTGGATACTGCTCTTCATCGTTTTGTTTTGTTTTTCAGGAAAAAGCCATGGCCCTTACCCATAGGAATAAAACACAAACCACAAGGTGATCTTTAAAATAAACTTTATTTACCATTTCAAATTGAACAGTTTAAGATATACAGCTGACATGACTAAGACAATTTCAATGCAGTTTGGCCCTAAAATGGAAAAGACATGGTTAGATATGTTTGATAAAGTACTGAGCTCATGTCATTATTGTGCTTGTCTTTTTACTTCACTGTTTTTATATTGCCATGAGCACACGGGTACACACACACACACACACACACACACACTATTGTGATGACATCTCTTCTTTTAGGATACAGGACATGGGAGAGATATGGGTTTTATTTTTTGCAGTTATGTATTATTTTCTGTTGCTTTCAAACACGTATACATTTTAAAGTGCTGTAACAACATTAAAATACATGATGCTGTTTTGAATAAACACTCCGGTAAGTAAATGAAAGAATTCAGTTTCATTTGAGACACAGTGTGCTGATTCTGTTTATAGCTTACTTTATACAGCCACAAAATTGTGCTCAATAGACATTTCCATCTAGAACTTAGAGGTTTTTATGTGCATATATTTTTGTTTTGCTCGTTATACAGCCCCGTCATGTCATTTGAATGTGTATTCCATCACAATTCATTTACAAACTAATGTAAAAGTGTTCGGTTCTTCTTAGAAACACATTTTTTTGCTACCCAATAGCAGATTGACATGAAATTTCCAAAACATTAATTCAGTATATATCATTTTTCAAATGCATTTTTCTTTCCAGGCAATCAAATGTGCTTACTCCGTTTCTTTTTACATTGTGCAGAATACATGAAACTGTGAATGAAATTGACAGAAATGTTCTTAAAGGGGTTTGCAGCACTACAAATACACTTACAATACTGAGATGAAGATATAACATTGTTGGCTTTAGACTGTGTCCTTTCTCATGAATAAACGATTTCTGTTTGACCAGACGCATTTTTTTTTTTTCAAGTTTCAGTCCAAAGCCTTTGTTTGGCAATGTGTTTGAGTTGAGATCAGCTGGCTTGAGGAGGTTTAGGGAGGAACAAATGTAGTGTCACTGAATATAGCTAAAAAAATATTACAACTGATGATAAAATACAGTTTTAGTACTATAAAAATAAAAAGGAAAAATCTCTTAGAAAGGTAGATTTCTGTTAAATGGCAAAAACAGATCATTACATACTGATTAAAATTACTGTACGACATCAATAGTGACAGAACGTCCACTACACAGAGCACTCTGTACACATAACATTAGCTACGTTACCATAAGAAATAAAGTAAAAACAACTAAAAATAAACCCCACTACAGCAACCCACCCTGATAAAAACAGATAACACAAACATCAGTTGAATTTTTGTCTTTTTTTTTTTACATTACTGTACAACGGAGAGAGAGAGAGAGAGAGAGAGAGAGAGGACTAGAGGTGTGGAACAGTGCAAGAACGGCACTGATGCATAACATGTCTACTGTTATATAAAGAGTTTGCATGTCAAGGTCTGTTCACATTGCAGTACCTAGAGACAGACACATGGTCTTCATGCCACGTTCAAGGTCTGAGGACCACACATCAGACAAATGAGAGGGCTTCAATCTTGTGCATTCACATTTGCAACAGCGATTAATCATACAGTGGCTACTGTGTACGTAGCCAGCTAAAGTGAACCAGTAAATAAAAGTGCTGTTAGTCTCACGACACCTAAACTGCTGCTCTAATCTGTCTAACAGAGGAAAAGCTAGAGTCTGTGACTTGCATGTATGGTTGTGCCATTAGCTCACAAAGACCAATGAACCTCTAACTACTCCCCTGAGTGTCCGATATCTCCTGTTAGGCAGCAGAGGGTTACTTTTATTCTTGTTGCATCTCTTTTTTTTTTCTTCTCTTTTTCTAACTTTTTTAAAGTTAGATTGTATTTTATATATTTTTGGATAAAATCTTGAATATAGGCTATATATATACCTTACCTTCATGCAGAGATTAATACAATGTACAAATAACAATGAACTCTAGACTATTATGCCATCAGGTTTTGAATACTGATTTTATCTGTGACCTGCTCCATCATTTTGAGTCGGTTTCAGAAAAAAACATATCGAGTTTTATGAACTAAAATATAATGCATTTAGGGTGAATATATTTATAATTTTATGGATATGCTCTTCTCTAAATTAGTTTTTTCCCCCTCTAATTGAGAAACAATGGAAACTGAATGACTTTCCTGAGGTAAATGTAATGTCAGGTGATGTTGTTCACAAGCTGTTTTATTGACATCTTTCCGTGATTGAAACACGATTACATGAGATACAAGTTGTACTGTTGAGTTCAGTAAGTTGTATTGTATCTTTCAACATACCTGCTGATGTTTATTCCTGCAATAACTAGTAGTAAAAGAGGAAGAAAGGATCTGTGTTGCCGTTTGAACTGAGGCAACTGCAGCGATCTGCCTGGCCACATTAAAGAGTGTCGAAATGACATTTGTTTGAATTTCATAAAATTAAGGTAATTTAAAAGCTGAAACTTTGTCAATAGAGGGACCAAAATCTCTCAGATTTCATTAACATATCTTCATTTGTGTTTCAAAGATGAATGAAAGTCTTAAGGGTTTGGAACGACATGAGGGTAAGTAATTGATGACAGAATTTTCTTTTTTTTGGATGAACTAACCCTTTAAGGTATTTTCCACCAAGAACAAAATGTAGAAGTATTCAGATGGAGAGCAGAAGAAATACTGAATAGGATGAACAAGAAGGAAATTTACTCCAGTACTATAGATGGGGCTTCTCAGACATTTTTGAGAAGTTTTTGGCTAGTTATGCGATTACAACATGTCGGCCCATGAAGTGATCCATTCAATGTAAAAGAAAGAAATAAAAAGAAATACTGTGAATTACTAAAAATTGTTTGCTATTATTAGTCTACGGACTTCACTGGAGTCTTCGATTTCAAACATATTTTTCTAAAGTATTATTCATTTCTTTGTCTTCCCTCTGCAATAACTGGTAGTAAAAGAGGAAGAAATGATCCGTGTTGCCGTTTGAACTGAGGCAACTTCAACGATCTGCCAGGCCACATTAAAGAGCGTAAAAATGACATTTGTTTAAATTTCATAACAAAATTAAGCTAATTTCAAAGCTGAAACTTTGTATGTTTTGTTCCTATTTTCAAACTCCTCATTTCGACTCAAAATGACAGAAGCAGCACGTCACATACGTATTGCGTTTCTCCATGCACAACGCAAAAGAGAAAAACCAATACTACTTTGACTTAACTATACACACATCTATTCGCCGTTTCATCAGAAGTCAATATGTGATGCGTCAGCCCATTAGCAGCTACCTTGCCAGAATCCCTGTTGAAAAGGCATCAGGCAACATCCCAGACAAATTCACAGTGTAACCAGGACTCTCTATCCAAGTACATGTGCCACTTCAACCGTATGCATCCTAAGTAATCCTTTTGTTACGTCACTGGAATGATATGATAAGCAGCATCTAGCCATACCAACTACCAAACTCTCAATCGGAGTATCTCCCTCCCTATTGCCTACAAAAACAAAACAAACACACCTAATATGCTGTGGTTTCTATTTTAAAAGTCAGATAGATGTCTCGCAAGACTATTTCATGTTATTCACAATAATACAAAGGAAAAACTGCTGACTACCCAACAATTACACTAACTACAGTGATTGTGACTGATGCTACGTTTACTTCTGATCGTTCAGCATTATTCAAAAACACAACTGCTTGGCTCAGCACAGCCAGATGCCTTTAAATGACACATACACACCAGTTCAAGTCTCTTAACACACGTCAAATTACACACAAACATACCAGCTAAATCATCAGAATACAAAGGTCTGTGCACATGTTTTTGGTAACATGCCTCCTTTTCTGTGAAGAGCAGGGTTAGTGTGCATACTACAGTACCGAATCTAATGAGGAACTAGCTGCTTCTGGTTATCGCACACATGATCCCCTAGCTCAGGAGATGCCTCGGCTCGAGATGCCCGGAAGACTAGACAGATTTGGCATTTCATGTGGAAGTTCCTACATGAAAATCCCTCTCCTTCATGTCAAACACTCAACATTAGCAATAAATCATCTCAAGGTATTGGAAAATGCTTCACAAAAAAGCAAATTGTGTGTAACCCTGAGAATTGGCTTGAGAAGTTATTTGCCTCGGTCCAGATACCTCAGTCAGTAAGAGCTTAAGACCAAATATCCTTTGTTTTGTATTTTTGCTCTCACTTAAAAGGGAAATAGAGTGGATATTCTCTTGGCCTATTCTTATTTATCGGTATCAGCCAGTCTACTTGGACGATTAACGAAAGTTTTAGGCCCAAAACCTACCGGTAGTCTAGTCAATGGACAATAGACATGTCCTGGTTTGTATATTTAAGCGAATTCTGAGTTAATACAGTGTTAAAAGGTCATTTTATTTAACATGTATTATATCATATACTGGCATTATATTGACCATCGGCCACCCTACTCTCAGACATCAGCATTGGCCATTGAAAAACCCATATTGGCTTGTGAATGAGAAGGTTCCCAAACAAGACAATAGGTACAAAACAGAAACTGAAAATAACACTCCCCTTAACAGTGGCATTACAACATTGCCACAAAGAATATTTGGTCTTCAGCTTTTAAACCTGACCAGCACTGCCGCCACTATACACACACACAAGCCAAATCCCACTGTAGCTCCTGTTGCCACTACAGTCACATCTCCAGACTATACAAAACAGAGTGAAAATATTGTACAATGCGCTATATACACACTGCGTGAATGCAAATACCTCCTGTATATGAACATGTCTTTTTTTTCTTTAAAAAAACTGCAGTATTAAATTATGTGAACAAAAAGAAAAAGGTTTTGGATGACAACCAATTTCTCTAGAGGTTAGATTTCATAAAGCCCTTACAATATGTAAAGGTCTCCAGCGAGAGTGGCCTGTCCCGCAGTGTGGGAATGGGAACCGTCCTGGGGGGGAAGGTGTGGAGGGGCTCCTCTATGCGCTGGGTGTGGGGTTCAATGTGGAGCCGTTGCTTCCTGGGATGGTCAGACCGATCTCATCCTCTTTCTCCTTGAGTTTCTCTTTCCCCTCATCCTTCAGCTCTTCTTTGAGAGGGCACACCTCCACAGATTCAGGGCCCGTGGTGGCGTATCGTCCCTTGCGGTGCTCCTGGAGAGCAGGGCCCCAGTCCAGGTCAGGCTTCAAGGAGTTCTTCAAACGCTGCAGAGAAAAGAGTTGGTTTAAAAACAGTTGAATTTTGTTCAAAAGGATTGGCATACTTTAAAGCTAAAACTAGAGAATTTTTTGGGAAAGTTAAGTTCTTACATTTTTTCTCTTAAAAGGTTTGTTCCCCCAAAATTGAAAAAGTGTTCATCAATTACTCACCCTCATGTCGTTCCAAACCTGTAAGTCATTCGTTCATTTTGAAACACAAATGAAATCTGAAACCTGTGTCGCTTCAAAAAGTTCATAAAGAGATCGTAAAACTAATCCATATGAATTGAGCAGTTCAGTCCAAATTTTCTGAAGAGACTCGATCCTTTATATGACGAATAGAGTAAATTTAGGCTTCTATTCAGATATAAGCATTGATCAGCGAACATAAACAGAAGCTAAACCATACTTGGCTTGACGCACAAGAAAAAACCTCATTAGTTCTTGCGGAAGCTCAAACGTCCTGCGTAACACACGAGTCTTAAAGCCTAAATCAAACCTGTTCATCATATAAAGTGATCGGGTCTCTTCAGAAAATTTGGACTAAACCGCTCAATTCATATGGATTAGTTTTACAATCTCTTTATGAACGTTTTGAAGTGTCAACGTGTCAGTTGCGTTGACTGTCAATGGAGGGACCAAAATCTCTCAGATTTCATTAACATATCTTCATTTGTGGTTCAAAGATGAATGAAAGTCTTAAGGGTTTGGAACGACACGAGGGTAAGTAATTGATGACACAATTTTCTTTTTTGGATGAACTAACCCTTTAAGGTATTTTCCACCAAGAACAAAATGTAGAAGTATTCAGATGGAGAACAGATGAAATACTGAATAGGATGAACAAGGAGGAAATTTACTCCAGTACTATAGATGGGGCCATTCACTGGCTTCTCAGACATTTTTGAGAAGTTTTTGGCTAGTTATGCGATTACAACATGTCGGCCCATGAAGTGATCCATTCAATGTAAAAGAAAAAAGAAAGAAAGAAAAAGAAATACTGTGATTTACTAAAAATGGTTTGATATTATTAGTCTAAAGACTTCACTGGAGTCTTCGATGCATGTAGGCTAGGGTGACCATATTTTGATTACCGAAAACCAGGACACTCGGACCGACAATGAGATACTCAAATGATACTCAAAGTTTACTCAAAGATGCCTTATTAATTTCAATACATTTAAAGTAGGCTATGCCTCTGTATGAATAGAAAATTGTTATATTACAAAATACTATAACCAAAGACACAAATACTGAACTTTTGAAATTCAGATTAAAAAATAATGATAGAAATAATGTCTCTTCTGTATTAGAAAAATAAATAAATACATAACTGAAAAAATTACCTCCAAATTGAACAAAAATAGCTCTCACAAACTTACAAAAACTCACTCTTTATCCTGTTTTTCTTCCTCATCCTTCTTGTTTGCCCATCTATATTTTGCTGTAGAGCTTATCTTTCCCAGCAGTGTTTTGTTGCTTAACAAATAAGCATGAAAGTCTAATGACCCAATGAAAAATTACAGGGCTCTCAAGTTTTGAAGACAGGCAAGAGTGACATCCCCCAATATGTCAATCATTGTGTGATAACGAAAATATGACTAGGCCTAGACTACTTGTTCTGAGCAGGTGTTTCTGGGAAACATTCTAGCAGTCAAGTTGTCATTGTTTGTGTCAAACAATTTGTGAATTTGTTGTAACATTAAAAAAGGAGATCATGACCTACTCTGTGCTCAAAGTGATGCTCGAGCTCCAGTGGTTTCCTCTGCGGGTGAACGAAGCTTTCGGAAGATGTTGTAGCAGAATCACGTGAACAATTCCAGGAAATGCTTTTTTTTTCATTGGTTGTTGCGTTAAATCTTACCCAGATACAATAGTGCTATTTTCTGATTGGCTATTGTGTAGCCCTTTTCATTTTTTGATTGGCTGATAAGTGGCAGGCTCGATTAATAACTGCAGGGGAGACGCGATTGAATCCTCCCGGACCGGTTCCACAGTGAGCGGCGCGGCCAGAGACATTTTGGGTGCTGCGGCATATTATATATTATAAATCGTTTTTCCGCGTGAGAAATACAATGTTTGGCGGGAGTGCGTGACAAAAGACTGAAATGAGTGACTGTCACACTCAGTGCGTGACACTTGAGAGCCCTGAAATAATGAAAACCAGGGCATTTTCATCACTTTAAAAAAAACAGACAGGACGGCCAGGACAGGACGTGAAAACAGGACATGTCCTGGGAAAACAGGACGTTTGGTCACCCTAATGTAAGCGTACATGATTGTAAACCTTTTTTTCTAAAGCATTGTTACTTTGTTTGTGTAGAGCACTTACCTCTGTAAATGTCGATCCCTCAGACACAGCAATCTTGTACAGAGCATAGACAGGTATACAGATAACTGAAGACAAAGCCATGGCAAACCCAATGACCAATGACCAACCAGGGTACACATAGTCATTGTACATAATAGGCTTGTACTGTATCACAGTAAAAATCAGAATGAACTGTGAAGAGAGAGACAAAAAGGATTGGTTTGAATGATATAGTTTGAACAATACCTGATTCAGACAAATTTGAATCAGAACAACCTCTTACTCACAGAAATAATTAAAGGAGACACAAATCTCCAGCAGACCCTGAAGAAGATTGGAGGAGGGAAGCCAAGCATCATCTCCACATCTTTAAAATAGTTCTTGTGACCTGGTTGGAAACACAACATGGAAATTAACACTTCGGTTTACATCCAGCAACTGTGGCCTTTATATACAGCATGTAAAAGTGACTTAGAGGACTCACCATAGACATACATTATACAGATGCACATGATGCAAGAGATGACGACCAGAGAGAAACTGGCAGCGTAATTGTCCATAAGCAGCAACCAGTATATCCCTGCCTACATCACACACAGCACAACAATCATCATGGATAAAGGACATGTGTATGTGTATGTGTTTGCTCAAATGTGTTTGTTACTCACCCGTGTGGTCAGCGGCACTCCCAGAAGGAAGCCCACTATAGCAATTCCGAGCGTGACGTAGGTCTTATTTCTGATAATCCAGTCTGTTCCAATCTCATCTACTATAGCTGTCACCAGAGTCTCCAGTAGACAGAACTACACCATTAAACAGAAAAAAATAAGGAATTGTAAATCACTTTATACATAAACTGCTAGTTAAACAAGACATTTCCTGAAAGAAATACCAGCAAAGAGGCAAAAAAATAATGTAGGTAAAATTGTAAAAAAAATTAAAAAAAGAAATAAGAAATAATTATATATACACTCACCTAAAGGATTATTAGGAACACCATACTAATACTGTGTTTGACCCCCTTTCGCCTTCAGAACTGCCTTAATTCTACATGGCATTGATTCAACAAGGTGCTGAAAGCATTCTTTAGAAATGTTGGCCCATATTGATAGGATAGCATCTTGCAGTTGATGGAGATTTGTGGGATGCACATCCAGGGCACGAAGCTCCCGTTCCACCACATCCCAAAGATGCTCTATTGGGTTGAGATCTGGTGACTGTGGGGGCCATTTTAGTACAGTGAACTCATTGTCATGTTCAAGAAACCAATTTGAAATGATTCGAGCTTTGTGACATGGTGCATTATCCTGCTGGAAGTAGCCATCAGAGGATGGGTACATGGTGGCCATAAAGGGATGGACATGGTCAGAAACAATGCTCAGGTAGGCCATGGCATTTAAACGATGGGGCCTAAAGTGTGCCAAGAAAACATCCCCCACACCATTACACCACCACCACCAGCCTGCACAGTGGTAACAAGGCATGATGGATCCATGTTCTCATTCTGTTTACGCCAAATTCTGACTCTACCATCTGAATGTCTCAACAGAAATCGAGACTCATCAGACCAGGCAACATTTTTCCAGTCTTCAACTGTCCAATTTTGGTGAGCTCTTGCAAATTGTAGCCTCTTTTTCCTATTTGTAGTGGAGATGAGTGGTACCCGGTGGGGTCTTCTGCTGTTGTAGCCCATCCGCCTCAAGGTTGTGCGTGTTGTGGCTTCACAAATGCTTTGCTGCATACCTCGGTTGTAACGAGTGGTTATTTCAGTCAAAGTTGCTCTTCTATCAGCTTGAATCAGTCGGCCCATTCTCCTCTGACCTCTAGCATCAACAAGGCATTTTCGCCCACAGGACTGCCGCATACTGGATGTTTTTCCCTTTTCACACCATTCTTTGTAAACCCTAGAAATGGTTGTGCGTGAAAATCCCAGTAACTGAGCAGATTGTGAAATACTCAGACCGGCCCGTCTGGCACCAACAACCATGCCACGCTCAAAATTGCTTAAATCCCCTTTCTTTCCCATTCTGACATTCAGTTTGGAGTTCAGGAGATTGTCTTGACCGGGACCACACCCCTAAATGCATTGAAGCAACTGCCATGTGATTGGTTGATTAGATAATTGCATTAATGAGAAATTGAACAGGTGTTCCTAATAATCCTTTAGGTTAGTGTATATATACACACAGTACATAAAAGGAGAAGGGGAAAGAAATGTGTCATTTTGCGTTCATTCCTTTTTTAAAACAGAAATGAAATATGGAAGATGTGTTTTCTTAACACTAATGAGACATGGCTCTCAAAAGTGCGGGAGACTCATTATTTCTAATTTAGCAAAATATTTTTTTTTTATATAAATATGCAAAACGTAATAAACAAAAATCTTTAAAAAAAAGTCAATATTTTGTTTTTTTTGTGCATGAAATTTGTGTACGGTTTTAATTTAAATGTTGGTATTTAACATAGCACAACTGCACAAAATACAGCAAAATACAGCAACAATAGCACAAAAATACAACAACTGTTCTTTTTTTGTTTTTCTCGCCATAGTAAAAAAAAAAAAAAAGGCACAAAGACCAGATCTTTAAAATAAAGCTCTAAGTGCTTCAGGTTGAATTACACTACTGTAAAATGTTTGGCATCAGTAAGATTTTTTTTTATGTTATTAATAGTAGGTTACCGGTAATACTTTTATTCAGCAAGGTCGCATTAAATTATCGAAAAAACTGAAGACATTTCAAATAAATAATGTTCTTTTGAACTTTCTATTCATCAAAGAATCCCCCAGTGTGACACTAAAGACTGGAGTAATATAAATGCAGCCTTGGTAAGTATAATAGACTTCTTTCAAAAACATAAAATCTTACAGATCCTAAACATTTGATCAATGGTGTAATTGCAGAAGAAAAGAAAGATAAAAAAGTGAAACATTTTGTGCTGTCTTGGAAGAACTGTATAAAGACATATGAAAATGTTACAAAACAAGAGGAATACCTGAGTGCCCAGGCCCAATAAAATGAGCATAAAGAAGAAGAGCAGGGACCAGAGAGGTGATATGGGCAGAAGTGTTAGGGCCTCTGGGTAGGCCACGAATGCCAGGCCTGGACCATGATCGGCCACCTCTGACACATCCACCCCAAGATGATGAGCCATGAATCCCAGGATGGAGAAGATAACAAAGCCAGCGTACACACTGGTGCCACAGTTTGTTACACTGATGATGATACTGTCTCTGTTTGAATACACAAATCATTAGATTATGTTTGCAATCATATATTTGGAACTGAAATTCTTGCATTCCTTTATTTCAGTTAACACCAGTTAAAAGTTATTCTATGCATTTATCTGTACACGCCACATGGGGGTGCTACAGAGTAATGCAGACACCAATCACAACACAGAGCTCTTGGTCAACACTCAAAACTCAACACTTACAGGTTAAAAAATGGATTAAAATGACACATTAGCAGAAAAAAAAGGATGAATTATTACCTGAAACAGTTATTGTGGAACTTGTTATATGATGCCATGGTAATAAGCCCACCCCAGGCGCAGCCAAGCGAATAGAAAATCTGAGAGGCAGCGTCCCCCCATACCTACAGAACACAAAATAAACATTATTGTGTATAGCCTCAGGGATCACTTGCAGTTATGCACAATTTTGCTGTTATACAATGTACAGACCTTGGCATCTAGAATTTTTTGCCACTGAGGGGTCAAATAGTATTTGATACCACTGACGGCTCCTTCAAGAGTGATTCCTCTAATGAAGAGAATGGTCAGCACCACATAAGGGAAGGTCGCTGTGAAATACACTACCTGAGGAAAGAGCATTAAAACTCAGTGAGAAAAACCTGTATGGTATGCAGTATTATTTTAGTATCATTTATATAAAATAGTCTTCTATCTCTATATTCTATAATTCATTTTTTCCAGTCAACTTATTTTATTTCAGTTAGTTGCTTTTCTATTTTTTGTGCACGATTTTTAAGTTTTTAGTCTAATATTTATATTTTTATTTATTTCTGCTCTATTTCAATTAAAGGAGAACTCCGGCGCAAAATGAACCTTTGGTCTAATTACACATTGTTACCTAGTCAACCGTTATCTGAGATTTGTTTTCATGATTATCGAATGTAAATAGTTTTATCTCTAAAAACAGTTTAGCCTATAAAGCTAGTATAACGCTAGTATATTGGGCATAGTGTAATGACAAATAAAAATCGCTTGTTACTACCACTAACAAGGCTGAAAATAGACCCACACTAACACGGTAGCATAATGAGGGTCCCTACCTTCAAACCGAAGCATTGAGAACTTTGTAAGTGTAAAGACAGTTTAATAAGAAGATATTTTAAACATACAGTCAACTTCGCGTATACAGGCAGAAGCCATCTTTGAAATACAGCCTTTACCAGTCGATCTACGAACGCCGATCCAAGTGCGCTGGTGAGAATGCGAACGAGCTATAAGTTGTGATAAGGTGAGCGCGAACAGCAGGCTTGGATCGGCGTTCGTAGATCGACTGGTAAAGGCTGTATTTCAAAGATGGCTTCTGCCTGTATACGCGAAGTTGACTGTATGTTTAAAATATCTTCTTATTAAACTGTCTTTACACTTACAAAGTTCTCAATGCTTCGGTTTGAAGGTAGGGACCCTCATTATGCTACCGTGTTAGTGTGGGGCTATTTTGAGCCTTGTTAGTGGTATTAACAAGCGATTTTTATTTGTCATTACACTATGCCCAATATACTAGCGTTATACTAGCTTTATAGGCTAAACTGTTTGTAGAGATAAAACTATTTACATTCGATAATCATGAAAACAAATCTCAGATAACGGTTGACTAGGTAACAATGTGTAATTAGACCAAAGGTTCATTTTGCGCCGGAGTTCTCCTTTAACAAAAACAATTTTAATGGAGTTTTAGTTGATGACAACACTGATGGTAAGTATATATATATATATATTAGAGCCCGACCGATATGGATTTTTGGGGGCCGATGCCGATGCCGATATTAGGGAGTAAAAAAGCCCGATACCGATATATCTGCCGATATTATTTATGTGTATATTATAATACAGTAGCAATATTATTTATGTGTATTATAGTACAGTATACCAGTCAAAAGTTTGGACACTTTCCTATTGGTGTGTACAAACTTTTGATGGGTACTTTACACAGTATAAACAGAATAAATATATTTTATAAACACGTTTTGCAATGATCACTCAAATGTGGTGATCAAACACTTGTGTGACACAGATATGTAATGGAGGCAGGGGGAATGATAGAATGAGAATTATACAGTTGAGCTGTAACCAAACTAGTTTGCATTGCATGTTATATTATATTATATTCTAAATACTGTTGCATAATCTTCACTAACGACTTTGTCTTTTAATTTAGTCATAACTTGTATCAATAAATATATAAAAAGTGTCACTGACAAAACCTTATTATCTTCTATTTTTAGTCTTAATTCCTCTAATCTCTACCAGTGGAGGAAGAACCTAAATCTTTTTACTTAAGTAAAATTAATAATATCATAATGAAAACGTTTTTAATTACATATGTACAGTACTTTTATAGTATTTTAAATAATTAGTAAGCAAAATGTACTAAACGTGAAACTAGGCTACTCTTAATGCAAAATGGCCCTATATAAAGTGTTATAATTATATAAATTATTGGAATATTGCTTGATGTTGTAACGTAGCGTTATCAGGCAGAATGAGCTTTAACACTGTGTCTACACCGGACGTGGCCGTTACTGCTCGCGTCGGAACAGCTGTTTACCCTAGACAAAGCAGAATCAGTTTACTGTCGGAGATCGCTCGCGCCACGCATTTTAATCAATGTTTCATCAACCAATTGCCTGGATTTTAATAAATAAGAAGTAAATATAGCAGACAAAATAATCAGGACTTCTCAGCTGCGCGCTTGCAATAGTCACAAGCTGACACAATACGTGCATAGGCTGGTAGCAGAGAAATCAATTCTGTGAATTACACTGCGCAAATCACAAGTAGGCTACTACCCACCGGATGAAGAAGGGTTGGCTCTCAGTCTCCACAGGCTACATAAAATATTCATTTTATTTTATTTTATTTTTCGTGTTCGCATTTATGAGGAAAAAACAATGTTACAGACGCGACAGTTCAGCACTACGGACGTGAGCGCTCTGAAAGCGGCACTAAAATATGCTTTGAAACTTTCACATAGACATCAAACAGAAAGCACAAAACCTTTCGTTTCAAAGTGAATTTCGTTTTGTATTAATTGTATCTTAATTTTAATCAATGTTTCATCAACCATTTGCCTGGATTTAAGAAGTAAATATAGCAGACGATAGATAATCTCGACACGGAGGCGCCTGCGGGTGAACTGGAGCTCGTCTCATGAACCGAAACTCAGCGTATAGACCTGAGAATTGAAATATATCTATATTGAAATGTCTACTTTTAAACAGAACAATTCAAAACGAAAGACAGACAGACTTATGTAATCGAATGAAATGTGCATTTCTCTCTGGCGCGCGTTCACTGAAGATCGCGAGTCAGCATCGTCAACTTCATCTTTGGCTGACACTGACTGAAAACACTTGTTTATTAATAAACAATTAAAATGTCTCCTTGCTATATTTGTTGTATTCATAATCATTACTTTTGCCAGTTCTTTGTGACACCTTTTAGGTGCTTTATTGGCAGCGCCACCCTTACATGAATCACCGCACCCGCATTTTTTTAAATATTCATTTATCGGCCATTATAAATGCTGATACCGAAAGTTTGGAAAATGCCTAATATCGGCCGATAATATCGGCTCGCCAATATATCGGTCGGGCTCTAATATATATATATACATATTCTAGAGTAAAACTTGTACACTAGATTAATTTGTAAACTACAGTGACCTGCAGTGGATTCAAGCATTTTGCATTTTAACATTCATGAGAATCGATCCCATGACCTTGGCGAATGGATGTCCTACTCACTTTGCCTGATGACTTGACTCCTCGAATAAGACAGAGAAACACAACCACCCATGACACAGCCAGACATCCCAGGATAGGCAGACGCACCTCCCCAAAGTTCCCAATGCCGTCAGAGATATTCAATACATAGTTCCTGAGAGGGCAAAACCAGTAAAGGAGGGATGTGAGAGACTGCAGGATGCAAGACAAATCATTAACAGTTCACTCATCAAAATCATCATGCTAATCAAAATGTTTTTTTTTTTGTTTTTTTTTAGCTTGCCTTTAGATGAAAAGCATTGTGAGCACAGCCCCATAAAAAATAAAAACCTCAGCCACACAATGAACGAGTTTACAAAAGGCAAGAACAAGAATGTCTTTCATACCACAGGGACAACACAACCCAGAGAGCACAAACCATTTATAAAGATGTTGAACGGTCCACACACGTCTCATGGTCAAAGCCTTGCATTCTCTGACCGCTGGCAGTAAAGTGAAGCATTCATTCCCAACCACATACCACATACAATCACAATCACACTCTTGGAAAAACAAAACATTCTGTGCCTTTCTGTCCCATTGTCTTGTAATGTCATTCAACAAACACATCTGTCAAGTCCAATGCACACAGATCCAAACATCATGACAAATTGCAAACATTTATTATTACCAGCTTTCAACTATTAACCTGTCATGCATTTTAAGTACAGATGAGTAATGTATTGACAACAAAAATATAAATACAGGGAATAAAAGACCCGGAGAGTTGAATATCAAGATAATTGTGTATAAACAAATACAGAAATTAAGTAATGTTTTTTTTTCTAGTGCTAATTTATATAAAAAAAAAAAAAAAAAAAAAAAAAAAAATAGACCTCTGCTATGAGGAGAATATTTTAATTTCTGTATTAAAATTCATCTCAAAATTTGTTGGGGGAATAAATTCAAAATGTCAGGCTGATAAAATGTCTTGATATCATAAAGAAAGTGTCATTAAAAGAAAATGTGTTCAATTAAAGCCATGTGGTCCCTGCAACACAAGGTTAGTTTAGGTTGGGAAATGTCATGTAATGGGACTTCCCAAAACAAAAAACTACGTATATTATATATATATTATTATTCATGATATTCAAAAAATATATAGTTTTTTACTTTTCATTTTTATAAATAAAATGCAGTATATAGATGAATCAACATACAAAGGTTTGAATTTACCTCCAGTACTCTTCACTAGGACTGGTCCTCTTGGTGCGGTTGACTATCTCAGTCACCCCTGACACGACAGCAGACATATTGGCGAAGGTGGCATTAGCTCGTGGAGTTCCCACCACCCCAGAGCAGTCAGGGGTGTTCCAAGGGTTGTTACAGTACGTCCAGGGCAGCAGGTTAGTCATTGACATGAAGAAGTAATAAAATGCAATGCAAATCACCACATTGTAGTAGATTCCAATGTAGGTAGAGACCACCATCATTCCATAGCCCACACCTTGAGGAAGAGAGAACAATCACAGTACAATAAATTCCTTTGCAGTCACATAAATAAAACTATCTAATTTATGATTTTAATAATGTATTAGTAAATGTTGAAATTAACATTAATAGATGCTTTATAAGTATTTTTCATTGTCAGTTCATGTTAACTAAAGTAGGTTAACAAATGTAAAACATAACTCTTTATAATATGGTTCCTTTTGTTAGCATTAAAGGAAGAAATTATGTAAGCGAACCTGGCACATTTAGCATTCAAATGGCACATATTGCAAGCCACTCTGAAGTGGAGAAAATACTGTGAGAGTGTATGTTTAAAAATGAATTACTAGTCAAACATGTCAGACAAGTCATGACATTACTTTAAAGCCAGACCAATACAGATAGATTCATCCATTATGTTTAGTTGTCATGGAAATGCTTCAGAGTTGTTCTCACACCTCATTTAATGGCCACATGCTCACCTTTAAACATTGGGCTGACCTTCCAGACTCCCAGGCACCCGAGGGAGGTGAACTGCCCAAAGGAGAGCTCCAGGAAGAACAGAGGGATGCCACAAAACACCAGCATGATGAAGTATGGAAACATGAAGGCACCTGTGATGCACACACACGCACACCCACAGTTACATAAAACTCTGACACATCAGTCTTCTCGCTGAAGACAGAAATCTAGGTGTACTCACTAACAGAAAAAAGACTGTTTAGAAATTACACAAAGAATAGCCAATGTTTGATTCCATTATAGTGTTCCCTAATGCTAATGCAAATAAAGTGAGTAACAGCTGAGGTGACATAACTGGTCTAATTTGATTGGACGAGCTGCATTCCAAAAGTGCTGATATTTTGCATAACAGAAACAGAATGTGGATACAGTGTTTTGTGTGTGTTAAAGACAAGGGCAGATTATGGCCCGGGGCAATGGGGTCGATGCGCCAGGGGCCTCAAACTGAGGGGCCCACAGTAGCCCAAAACCAAAAAGCAAGACACTTCTTCTGGATTCATACAGATGAACATTGCTTAAATAATGATATGCATGTAATAAAAAAAAAAAACACAAAATGGTCAAATACACATACAAACAGTACACTTAGTACATTTTACAGGACCACATTTTGTCTGTTTAAATAGGCTGGAGTTCAGTACTTATCTAAATTATGGGCTAATTCAGGATATGGCCCCGATCAGAAGCAGCTCGAAGAATATGAGATCATGGGGCAGAGGTTTCCGGGCCAGTTCATCTGGGACCATCTGCTAGAGACCCTTGCTTACTCTAGCCTGGTCTATTTTAAGTAAGGTGTGTTATGAGACTTGATACCAAATGAGTACCCTTTTAGGGGAGCAATGAATTTGGAAAAGGACTCAATGGCATGACTTAGAAAAACAAAACCCTAAATCCCACCAGTTTAAGTACTTCAAATGAAATGTTTAACTAATTTGGCATGACATTATAAAATGCTAACTCAACGGTGCAGGATAGGCACTGAGAGAAAGTCAATATAGACATTGGGCAGAGAAAAAGAAATTAACTGGTCACCTCCTCCATTTCTGTAGCAAAGGTAAGGAAACCTCCAGACGTTTCCCAGCCCCACTGCGTAACCCACACTGGTGAGGACAAACTCAATCTGGTTGCCCCAGTTTCCCCTTCTGGAGTTTTCATCTTTCTTCACTGGCTCTCCTGGAACCGCTCCGTTCTGAAACACAGACACATGTACGAATGAAATGAACATGATGTTGCTTGGTGGGATCCTTCTCGTAAGTCAGAGAGCATTGAAAGGGGACACATTTTGTTCACTTTGAGCACAGACAAAACAGAATATATGATAGTGAATCCATAATATGCCCATGAACTATGACATGGGCATATTTTAATCAATGTCAAGATTACTGATTAATATTTATGAACGTGTGTGAATGCTTAAATGCTTAAACACATAATCACCCTTCATACCTGAGACTTGTGCAATAAACCCCTAACTTAAAGTACGAAGTGCAATAACACCCCACCCACCCACCTCTATATTACAATACCGCACTATTATTTCACTCTGCACTACCTTACTGTTTATGTCCATTGTGACTATCTTTGTATTTATCTAAAAATCATAATTTCTACTTCACTTGTTCGCTTAAAATGGTCCCGATTATTGGATTTTTAGTACCAACATTAAAAATACAAGCATAAACACAAAAAAATCCATCATTCTGTCTATTCCCTCAAATAATACACTAATCCAAATTGCATGCATAATTCTTATAAAATAAATTAGATTAACTAAAGCAGGGGTCTTTTTAGTTAAGCCGGGGTCCGGTTCCAGACCCCGGCTTGGTTCCATCTGAGCCGCGGGACATTATTGCAGCATTTTACCGTTTCTACAGTTTAAAGTGAGCAGTACGCACCAAAAGCGCTCAGGGTCGTTTATAGTAATGGTCTTTCAGCACTAATACTCTGATATTTTTTATAGCCAAACACACTTCATTCAAGCCCTTTCCACTCCATGCGAATTGCTTCTCTCTCTGACTGAAGATGCTAAAGCGCCACAATAAGAGCTGCAGATGATGCAGTTATTTTAAGAACAGTAGCAGAAACACTTTGAGCAACAAAATAGATCCTTTGGCTAAATCACTGCAGAAAATGAGAATGCAGCAAACAATTATTTTTATCTGTCATACAGATGAGTCCGGCCGTTTAACTAAACCAGGTTTGTGACAAGTAAACGTAGCGCTTTTAGACGTTTTCCCCCCATACACAGGTTAAGAGCATTTCATAAAAACAATGTTATAATTTGCGAAATTATTTAGAGATGGCAAGGAAAGACAACAAAACTTTGAAATTACTAGTTAACTTTGTTTTCTGCTCTGATGAGAGTGTTTTGATTATTAGATTATGTACATAGTTTGCTTGTTTTTAGTAGTTTATTATTTTGAGCAAAAAAGATAAATAAATAAAAATGGTCCAGACGGTTTTAATGGTCTTAAAAAAAGAAAACCATGCACCCCCATTCAGTAATTTCTCTCAGTCACAAGGCCTTCTATGTGCCATACACACAAGTGTCTAAATGGGAAAATAATAATAGCCTGATAAAACCTCTGATCTTACCTTTTAATATACATATCCAATTGAGCTCAACTGATGAAATATTTACTTTTTTTATAGAAAAATTCTCAGACACCACTGCTTTGGCTCTGAGGGCTCAAGATTCTCATCTTTGGTGACTATTTTGACTGTTTAGGATTTTTTCTTTTACAAAAGTACTACTACTGCCCTGAAGGAAATGTATAACTATTCCAAAAAAGTATTGTCCGGACCTCGCTGGGAAGGAAATATCCGGACCTCTTGGAACTTTAATTGGATACCCCTGAACTATAGTAAGTAAAAAAAAAATTAAAAAAATGTGTCGCAAGAAGTTAATGCCGTGGTGAAGTGATACTGCACATGCTTCCAACATAAGGAGTTCCAAATGTAATGCAAGTTCGAGTATGGGTTGTCAATTCATTACCCCGGTCCCACTACTTCCTATAGCTCTCTACAAGTCAAGTCAAGTCAAGTCAAGTCAAGTCATCTTCATTTATATAGCGCTTTTAACAATGGATTGTTTCAAAGCAGCTTTACAGAGAAAAACATATAATTTAAGGTAACAGAGATTGTTTTGGCTTTATAGCGGTTCTTGAATAATGTTATTTCCAGCTAAAGTTAGTTTTGATTGATTCACCTCCGTCGAAATGATCATTTGTTATTAAATTAGGGGCCGCTAAGACGACGCCATTCTCTCTAAACAGACTTTAAACGCGAACCTGTGATTAACGCTGACGGCGTTCACATGCACATTAAGAATTGATTCTATAGTTATGTGCTTTTGAAAATATGTGCGCAGGTTTGTAATTCCATACAACCCATGCCAAAACAAACTACTTGTCTTGCCTATAAATTTTGATACAGAATTTTGTTTTATTTTATCACTTCGGGGTACGCGAACCGAAATTCACAACGCTATTTCACAACGCCGAAATTCACAACGCTATTCTACCATTGTTTCACAATGGCATTTTCACTATTCACAACGCCGAAATTCACAACGCTATTCTACCATTGTTTCTCTACCACAATTTAAAATGTGTTAAAAGAAGATAACCACAAGAAAGCAATTGTCAAAACATTTTGTGAGCACTGTTGTGGGCATGCTGGAGCGCACTTGATGTGAACTGAAATCACCGTCATGTGCTCAAGACAAACATTTGGTCTTGTCGGCCTGGTTTAAAGTTTACTTTCTCCATCTGTTCTCATCAGATGCTCTTCATGTTGACCTCTAAGGCAAGCTCACGATCTGATCCGAGCGAGCGCGCCGCCCGCACAGCGAGCACGCTGCGGGAGATGAACATTCAGCAGCTTATCCTCGCGATCTTCCCCACAGCTCTGGGGAGGAATCCAAACTGCACTAGATCATTCTAGTGAGCAATTTTGCTTTACAAATGGATAGTTGACATTTAACATTAAGATACTGTAACTATAATTGATTTGTTGAAGTGTAAATGTGGTATCTCAAGGAAAGTTTATAACACTGTGTAACAATTAGAAAATAATTAGAAAGTCTTTAGATGAAGTACCACCGACAGATGTGCATGTCAACTGCCTAAATATAAAAAGATTATGAGCTGCATGTATGAAATGATTTTAAAAGGCAGCAAAAGTGTCAGTCCTACTTTTTTTTACATTACTTTTTTTCCATTTTAGGTTTGCTTCACACACAAACACACACACACACACACACACACACACACACACACACACACACACACACACACACACACACACACACACACACACACACACACACACACACACACACACACACACACACACACACACACACACACACACACACACACAGTCTCAGCAGTATCTGAGTCTGTGATCCTGCAGGGAGCAATGGCCCAAAGAGCTCACAGACATGTGCATCAGCAAAATGACCAATAACCACTGATTTGCCTTTCATCCAAAATGAAATATTCCTTTAGTTAAGTATTAAACAATGCAACCTCTCTATTTTGTTCTGTTGAACACAAAAAAAAATAACCCTAGTGAGAATGCTTTTTGAACAATTACAACTTTTATTCCTGAACCTGAAATTGGACTAACTGTACAAGGAAGAGCTGTTTTCAAACCCTTCACTATGGGAGCAGAGCAAAAGACTCACGCAGGGGATTGTGGGATTGATAGCAAAGCGGGGCAAGCGCCAAGCGGTGTGAGAATCAAAACATTGTTAACTAAATTAAGATGACAGGTGCGGTGTCCAAACTCTGAGGTCAAGGCAGTGACATCTGTAATAACAATTGAAAATCTGCTGGAAGTAGATTAAATCATAGCTGGAAATGCATTTAAATCAGGTTTTTGACCATGTGTTTACAGCAAACACAGCGATGCTGCCTTATATTTACAGAGACAGCCCCAAAATGGGAGACATCTAGAATTTTGAATGGTATGAACAGATTTCTTCCGCACCACTGGACACATTGTTTAAGTCTGCTTTTAGACCTGAGACTGGATGGAGGCCAGCAAATGGACACCTGTGTTGGGTTGTGCTGATGGCTCTCTGAACAACTGCTGCAGCACAGCTGAAGGCCCAGCGTAAGGAGGAGGAGATCTAGAGTAGACCCAGAAACAAGTGGGATCCTTGAGGTCAGAACACCTGGGAGATGAACCGACCTTTATCCACCTACCTAAAGTACACACTAGTTCAACAAAATGCTAGTCAATACTACTCTGCATCTATCCATCTATAATATTACAGTCAAACAAAACAAAAGATAATATTGGAATTATTGGAACTGTAGCTCTATACAACACACTGTTGATATTTTCTAAAACATGGCTCTTCTGCGCTCACACATGCGGTTATGTTGTGTTTACCTTCCGGCATATCAAAGTATTGTTTAGTTCAATCTTTATCCGCTGCACTCTGTGATTCCTGTCCCTGTGCTCTGTGGAATGCCCAGGTGTTTCAGCCGTTGCCATTTGCTCCAAGGATCTGTCTTGCAGAGCACAGAGTGAAAGAGAGAAAGATCGTCCAGCTGGGCCCATCTGCCCTTTTACGTAAGACCAAGACACACTCATAAACACAAGGTCCATGGGGACCTGAGTCAAATGAGTGGTTTACCTATTAGACTTTCTATTAAAAAAAAATAAGAAGGAAAAAATAGAGCAAGGAAAGAAAAGCGAGAAGCAAAAAGGGAAAGGAAAAGGAAAAGAAAATGAAAGAACAAAAAAGAAATAAAAAAGGAAATGAAATAGACAAAGAAAAGAAAAGAAAGCTTCCATAAAAAAACTGTCTCAACAAAATAACTGCCTCACAACAGCATTAAACATTATCTTGAGTTTGTATTTTTCTCCCAAATTTGACTATTCCGCAATTTCCTGTCCTACAACCTCAAACAGTGAGAAGAGCATCTATCCATGAAGCCTGAAGCCTGTGACTGACAGCAGCACAGCGCCCTCTGAGTAACTCATTGCAGGTATGTGACCCTGTCAATTTAAGAAGGAAAGTGAGAACTGACCTGTGACTTCTCAACTTAACACCCAGAATGCCTGGAGACGTCAATGCAGAATGTGCTGTGGCATTACATATGGTTCAAAAGATCCTTTTTTGGCTCAACAGGGTGTGTGTTTTAGTGTCTATTTCATAAAGCTATATGTGTG